TGTTTAGTCACAAGCTTTTATTTGCTTTGGTTACGTGTGCGTACACATGAAAACATATAAGTGATATGGAAAAACCAACAGAAATCCATGACGTTAATTTGCAAGTTATTAAAGGGTCAGGTAGACTACATTTATTAAAGACTTCACTGTTTTCCTGATTTCATGGGCTCATAATGTTTAAAAGTATTTATGTTTAAATTCTTTCATAATATTATATTTAATTTACACTTGCCAGTTAGGTGAAGAATGGAAAATTACGAATTTTTTTCGGACACTGATTTATTTCTGAGTGTAAGCCGACATCAATCATCACTCCCCTGGCTGCGCCTGATTTAGCCGCATATGAATGCCCGTGCCACTGCTCGCAGACCAGCTTCTTCTGCCCCACCGTTCTGTTTCAAGTTTAATTGCTTCGCATACGTTTTAATTATGCCGAGTACTGAGATCTAAGAGCCGAGAGCTGCGAGTTGGGCTCCACTGAATGGAGCTGCACTAGCAGCAACTAATTTGGCAATTTGGCCAACTGCAGAAGGGGGCTGTGTGAGCGTAATTACTTTATGGAGTATGGAGTGCACTGTGAATGCGTCTTTTATGACAGCCATTGAGGTGCAGAGCGATCGAGATCGAGTCCATCGCTCAAATGCCACAGGTGAGTGGAGCCGTGGAGGATGAGCGCCTCAGATTCCCAGGTGCGACCTTCGCGTGCCTTCGTCTCTTGACGGAATGTTATCAATAACTGCCGGTATGGCTTTGGAAGTTCTTAATTAACACGTTAGACAAACATTTTATGGCCTTTTTAAGTTATTTGTTTCCTCAATCGGTAATGCAAAATATTCCTTTTGGTGTCAGCTGCACATTAAAATCGTTCGTAATAAATAAGTTCTGCTTAGAACCTGTTGATGAAAACCGTAGTTTCCTTATAGTCGTCCCTATCATAATTCATCCACACCCCGCTTACTCACATCCATTTCAGTTCACTTTAGCTCGAAATGTCAAAGTTTGGCAATTTTGTGTGTGAGTCAATCGACTTTTACTCCGGATTCTGGCAAAAGGCAGCGACCTTCGCATCGTGCCAAAAATGCAGTCGGTGTGCGAAGAACTCGGAGCTACAGAGATCACAAATCCAAAATTGCTCTCAAAATATCATCATCTTGAGTGGCTCGGCATATTCAAAGTGAGGCGCAATTTACAATAAAAGAAGCATTAATTGATTCTGTCCGTCTTGGGGGCATTGCATCAGAAATTATCGTAGCTTAATTTAAATTACACGTTGGCGGCGCTTCACTCGTCCGCATTCTAGGTTACAAAGCAAACATAGATTCGAATCTGCAGATACAGATACGGATACGTATGTATTTCAAGGTCCGCCCCCCTCGAAGCTCTAGAGCAGCCATCAGAAATTACAAATCGTCAGTGTTTTCGACTTGGCGCATCATCACCTGGCTGGGTGCCATTAGCTTCCCTCGCCCTCTCCATCGCCATGTACAACTCCAAGTCCAACTTCGTCTAGATGGCCTCTCTGTCTGGCACGTTCAATGTAAATTAGCCGATGCAGGAAATTAAATGATTTTTTAATGTGCTGGAAAAATGATTACAAAAAAACAAGCAGAAGACACTGAAAACCGAAAACAGATTTCAAGTCGCTCATGGAGTGCTATTGAATATGAATTTCAGTTTTGGCTTCCGAGACAAGGAATGCGGCAAAACGAAGTTTTGTTTAATTGTTTGGTTTACAATTCAAGATTCATATTAGCCATTATGAAGTCAAGTCTTCCCTACTCTGCTATAATTTCTGTTTGTTTATTTGAGTTTTTCGCATTCGCATATTTGCAAACATAACTCCAAATGATCTTGGTCATTACAAGGCTTTGCAGTAAACTCTCCAATTTATTTTTATTGTGGTCTGTGGCAAGGTCGAGTATTACTTGCTGAAAATCACTTTGCGGAATACGCAGCGAGGAGCAATTCGATCCCACCCCATCCCTTCAATCCCTCATTAATTTCTAGCTCATTTGGGGCGTGGCTTGGCATGGCCTTTGAATTTACAACTCATAAACTTGGCATTATCGAATGTGAAAGTCAGCTCGTGCCAAATCGCATAATGAGCAGGGTCCGTTATAACAAAATGCTAGAAACTCAAATTTGCTACGCATTCAACCAATGAGCCAAAAGACAATTGACCAAAGTAATATTTGCTGATCGTGATGGATGCTACGCCCACTGTTTAAATGAACATTGAATATGGCAATAAAAATATTGAGTTACTTTTCCCTGTTGTCAAGTATTGTGTTCAAGCATTTTTAAAGAGTTCAAGTTTCCTTTGTGTTATGCAATCGACTTTTTAATGGGATAAATAAATATCCAAAACTGTTGAGCAAACACATTTAAATTCGTTTGCAGGAAATGAAATAATAGGAAAAAAATATGTTATTTATTTTAAAACGTATGTCTCTCTAAAAATTTATTGTTAAAGAAGCTACATTATAATAAATGTACAAACTACTAAACGTAGCTTCAAATATACCTCATTTAACTGAGGCATATTTCCCCGAATGTTCCCATTCTAGAGATCGTTAAGTAATTTTGCTTCGCATAGCACCTATAAGTCGTTACTAATCTTCTGTTTAACGACAATCAACATTTTCGACACTAGAGCGTATCTTTCCCAGCAGGAAGATAACGTATCTGAAAACGCTTTTTCCCTCGCTGTGCTCACATCTCAATTGCAGCTTATCCGACTTGAATCCATGTCAACGCCAATCCAAACGGACACATTTGTGAAGTCTGGGGCATAATCCAGCTCATTAGTTGTGCCGAAAAACGAAACCGAACCAAACCCAGCGAAAACTCCCACGCACTAAGGGAAAACAATTTGCAGCAGCATTGCCTGCAGCAAGTTCGTTGCCTGAGTTTTTTGTTTCTGCTTCGCCTTTCGAGGCGGCCGCCGCTGAAGCTGCCGCGCGACTGAAGCCTGCGATCCGCGATGAAGATGCGTGGAGCAGCTGCCTCCGCTCACTTGGCTTTTGGACGCTACCGTCGACGTCGCTGCCCGCTGCCCGCTGCCTGCTGCATGACTAATTCCATTACAAATAAGTGTTTCTGCTATTACACGAGCGGCAACAAATGTTTATGGCCTGCAGCCGCAGGAGCGCGGTACTCCCTCGTCTCATTTGTTTGGATGTTTGGTACTCATCTTCGCTCATTTGGCGAACCCGACCGCAGATACGAAGCCAGCTCGTCAAAATGTTTGGCGCTTTAATTTTCAAAGTAACTAGTTTACTATAACAAATCCACCTCTAGCGATTTCCCTCTTTTCTCAGCACCACCGAGAGCAGCACATTTTGCTCTTCCTCAGCTCCGTGTGCTTTGCAACATTTTGTAATGTTTTCAAGTGCTCGTTCGGCTGTGGCACTCATTTTTTTTCGTCTAACCGAATATTGAAAAAACGAACTAAACTGAACCAAAAGAAACACATTTTGGCGCGCAATTTTTTGAAGTCGACGTCGACGCAGCAGCGTCGCATGCTGCTCATTTCAAATATAAATACTGGCCTACGAAATTGTTTCAGTATCACAATCAAGTCAACCATCTTCGCAAGAAGAACACAGCCAACAGAGCAAAGTTAACAAAAACCGTTTTCGTGTGTGCCAAAATCCCAAACAAAAGACAACACAAAATGAAGGTATATAGCCGAATAGAACTCTCGAGTCAAGTGCCAAGTGGTGTGCTGTGTGAAAAAAGTCCTCACAAAAGGATATGGGCAGCCATAAATAAGATGCCAAAGTCAAAAAATATAGGTTTAAATACAATGCCTCATGTGGTATTCGAGAAAGGATAGGACTAAAGGATATGAAACTTTAATAACTTTTAAGTGTGAGACAAAGGAGTTCTTTCAGCAGTTCTTTCAATATAGGTCCTTTATCAGACACTGTTCAATCTTTTCATTACATTTTCAAAGGATATTCAAGATTGCAAATAACGTGGCGTTAGAAATTCTTAGAATGATACATTGCAAAGGTGCTAAAACATGTTCGAATTTTGTATTCATATTTTTAGCCAATCAATAGCCCTCATTTAAAATCGTTTTTGGCAATAGATCGATCAATCAATAAAACAACTCATCAAACTAATGAAGCGTTCATTGTCTCACATAGCACTTAATCAGCTAATCGGAAGGAGAAGACATGAAATATTAATATTTGAGCCATATTAAAAATCAAGTTCAGAAGGGTGATTAATCAAACGGAGATCCGCATAATAAATTTCATACGCTGCCATCATCGCGGTTAAGATAACCATCAATTTGTTGGGGATAGCTACTGTTTTTATATTTTTTTCTGTGGGTTGCGGAATCAGAACACCGATAGCATCCGCCTGGGAAACAATTGTAGCCAGCGTTCCCAGTACATTTCTAGGGTGTGGGTAACAAACAGAAGCAACAACAGCTGCCGCTGCTTGGGGTCATTTTGCAATGAATAAATTAGAGAAACTTTAAGTGGCGGAAGAAGAACTACTGGACATGCCCAAGTAAGGCAGTCTGGAGATGACCAGGCGGCGATAAAAAAACAGACAAAAGCGCAGCCAAAAAGCATAGCATTTTAACGCCAATGAAGCATGAAAGTCATTGACGGCCCTGTGCCTAAACACTCGGCCAAAAGATGTTTTGCACAAGATTCGGAAATAAGTTGTGTAAGCCTGAGCCGAAGAGGTTCTCCCACAGGTTGCCTCCGCCACACGGCGTATACTTAGCATTCAGACGCATTGCGCAAGCACGAGATCAGCCCTTCACTTGCTGCCCAGCCAAATCCAATCCCATCCAATCCGATGGGAGCTTCACCTGGGACCCAATTACCACAGATTTGCATATGCCCCAGCTAAATGCTGTAAAGATGGGAAAGACAAAGCCGATTCTGGGCCTGCTCGCAGGCCATCAAATCCAAACAAAAGATTGTCAAGCGGGTCACAGCCTGAGCAGTTATTGTTATTGTTGAGAGCTAGGCAAACAGTGGCCATTTATTCGCGGAGTACACCACGGTTTTACATGAGGAATTTCACATTTGGGATCAGTTGTGGGTTGGGGTATCGATCTCTCCTATTGGCGCCATCATTATATCTTTTTGGATCTCAGCCGTAGTTCGGTAGGCATTCTGGTGGATCTTAAAACCATAAAGCCTTTAAATACATTGTCATATTAGTTAGAATTTTAACGTAGGGACACAGGCCGATCTCACCTGGGCACAAACTTCTGCTTTGTCCGCTTTGGCCTTGCGTCCGGATACACCATGAACAGCATATGAGGGAATCCACTGCCAAAGAAGGCTCCATCCAGATTCGAGTGTCTAGCCGCCTTTGGAAAGTAAACATCATTGCACTTCGGGCAGTAGATGCGGACCATTTCCTCGCCGGGATTATCGCTCAGCCCAATGGGTAGCACCGGCTGACTCTGGCAGAAAGCGCGTGGACACGTCCCAAATTCTCCCTTGTTGTACTTCTCTAGCATCAGCTCGATGCCCTGATTGGTTAGGATGAAGCGAGCGTGGATTAAACCATACAGTTTCTCTGCACTGGCCTCCAGTTCCGGCTCAGCAGGGGCGTCCGAGGCTGAACCCGAATTCATATCCATGATCACCTCCAAGGCACATCTGTAGTTCTTCACGTTCGAATCGAGAAAGTTCAGATTAAACTTGTCATGAATGTAGTCCTCATCCACCTCGCAAAAGAACTCGTTGCCCCGCTGCTTGCAAAACCAACGAATCCAGGAAGTCTCATCCGAATCGGTCATAGCTGCTTCACTTTCGCTTCAATTTAATCAGTAAAAGTCACACCAGCTTAACAATACAACGTATTTAATTTCGAATGACAGCTGTCCGAATCGAAGTGTTTTGTCAAGGCTTGCTTTGCTCAAAAATCTCCTAAAAATCACATGCGTTTCCATTCCCCAGGCCTTTACGTCGATTGCGCTGCTCGTGTGCCTGGCTGCCTGGACCCATGCGGAGCCACCAGTTCCCCAGAACCAGTACCTGCCCCCCAACCAGTCGCCCCAGGCGCCGTCCAACAACTACCTGCCGCCCACGCAGGGCTTCCAGTCGCCGTCGAACAACTACTTGCCTCCCCAGCGGACCGGCGGCAATGGAGGAGCGCCCAGCAACAGCTACGGCGCCCCCATCGCTCCTCCCCAGGGTCAATATGGTGCTCCTGCGCTGACTGGTGCCATCTTCAAGGGCGGCAATGGAAACGGCGGCTATGGCGGCGGTAATGGCAACGGCAACGGCAACGGATACGGACAGCGGGATGAGGAGCAGTACGGACCGGCCAAGTACGAGTTCAAGTACGACGTGCAGGACTACGAGTCGGGCAATGACTTCGGACACATGGAGTCCCGCGATGGCGATCTTGCCGTGGGCCGCTACTACGTCCTGCTGCCCGATGGTCGCAAACAGATTGTCGAGTACGAGGCCGACCAGAATGGATACCGTCCAACCATCCGGTACGAGCAGGTCGGAAACGGCAACGGAAACGGAAACGGCAACGGTCGCAACGGTGGCGGTTACGATAGCAACGCGCAGCAGGGCAAGTTCAATGGCTATTAAGATGGGGGAGTGAGGATACCCGATCAAGGTCGACCCCGCAACTATACTCGTCTACTTCATGGGATCGCTGGCCGAGTATTAAACGCACATCCAGCCAGAGGGCCAGCGATCGCAGTCAGTCTATCCCTATCCATATACCTATCTCTGTGTATCCCATTAGTGGGACGTCCGCCATTTTGCCATAGACAGGCGCGTTCCTTTCCGTTTCCGTTTCACAGCCGTTCGTTCCCCTGTTTCCTGTCTCTACGCCTGGAACTCCTTGCCGTTTTGTTTTGTTTAAGCGCCTTCATTTTGTGTAAGTCTACGCACACACACACCACTCACACACACCATGACCATTACGCATTCATACATACATGCATAAGGATTGTATTTAGTTTTTAAACGAAAATGGAAATTCGAAAGTGAAACGAACTTATGAGATTTTTGTGTATATTTAATAATTATTAAATGAATAAAGAAGCATTTTTGTATAAAACAAAGTCAAAAAGGAAAACCGAGCTGTCTTTTTATTTTGATGAAAAAATATTTTATAATTTTTCAGAGTGTAGTACATAACAAAATGTATTATTGCAAGCAATTTACATGATCAATTCTGAGAATTGAATACATTGCACAATACCATTAAAATTTTCCAAATAGCTACTATATGTAAAATACCTACTTGAGGACCCTCTCCAGTTGTCCCTGGCTGTTGTATCGATATACAGGATCCTTGAGCTGTCCCACAGTGGAGTAAGTCAATTGAGCCGTAAAATCCTCTGCATTCTCGTCTTGCTGCGAGCTGAAAGTAACCCTTTGTAGTTTATTGTCCTGCGAAATGACGAAGTATCGTCCCTCTCTGATTTTGGGCTGCTGGTTGTCTTTAATATCTTGTGAAGTTACTGGCTCCTCATCGTCGGGATAAATGATTTTAAATTTCGGATCAGGCGGACCGTACTGGTTGGACGGTCGTGAGATGGGAATAATCTCTTCGTTGGCTATATCCAGTTGTTTCGGAGGAATATAATTTGGCTGGGGTCTTTCCACTGGCTCAAACTGGTCCACTCGGGCCTTTGTGATTTCCACTCCTTGGATAGGAAGCACAGATTCGTTAGGTAAGTTGAACGGAATCTGCGGATGCCACCCTGCTGGAGCATAGGGTGCTGTACGTCCACCAGTGGAATCTACTTCAGCTCGTACAATGGCCAAAATTGGCAACAGTAGAAGTAACTTTAGGAATGCCATAAGATTTACGATTCAATTTTTATTAAATAACTCCACATCATACCTTTGTCACCATTTTAATGAACGTTTCGGTTGAAACTGCGGTGCAGTGTTTGGGACTTGCTCATTTTTATATTGAACAATTGGAACCATTGCAATATTTATCATGCCGGACACGCACCTTGTTCGTCTGACACCAATTGGACTGCATCTGTTCCATCTTCAGACAACATAGTCACGTATCCAGCCGACAAAACTAAAGAAGAATCAAATGCACACAACCTTGACAACGGATGAGCGAATAATTGGCAAAGGCTCAAATTTGGTTTCGACCACATACGTTAGTTAACGTTCGTCAACTTGTAGATGCACCCAAAAAGTGAAAGGGAAAGTAACCAAGTAGCGATGAATTGCTAAAGAATTCAAGGAAAATAGAACAAAGGAGATTTGAATGTAATTATTATTTACTTAAGTGACTATGCTCTTCAAGAATATTGAGTAAATGCATGCTCAGCAAATTTAATTTTTTTGAAAATACGTTATTTCTAGGGTGACCCCTTTCAAATTTATTTGTAATATGCAGCCACACTGCTGCGTCGAGCATTTTGTGTCTTCCGCCTACGGCCTTTTAATGTACAACAGACGGTCACACTGTGCATGTGGAATTTTGAGAAAACATTGACAAAAATTTGTAATTTAACTGCTTAATTTGAGGAATAAATGCGTACATATGTTAATTAGTTGCAGTATCAGAGCCAGTGAGCAATGTGCACGTGCTTACTATGCCTAACACCGAGAAATCAGCGAGATTTATGTGACAAAATTCCATAAACAAATCAGCGTGCAGCTCGAGCAGAACCTGGTAATACAGAATTCAGCAGGACGAAGCAATTAATTCCAACATTTGGTTGTATTCCAGATATGCGGTAAATGCAATATTATGCGCCAGTGGCCACGGAGCCCGCCGGAACCACCAAAACCATGTGGCCCAACTGCCACCTAAACGCCGTGCTGCTCGTCCTGGCAGTGCTGGCGTGCCCCACTAGCAGTCAACATGTTCCTCTGGCCATGGCCAACTCAACTAGCAACCAACAAGTGCCTACGGATCCTGGCTTCATGCCCCTGCAGCAGTCGCCGGGAAGCGTGTTTTTCGTGCACCACAACCAGCAGAATGCCATGCAGCTGCGACACAGTATGGAGGGCAAGCTGCGGAACATTCGCAATACGGAGCTGAGGGTGGCCAATATCCAGGTGGGTTATCTATACTATTTGAGCTTTTAAACTCATCTTTAATGCCCAAATATGCGTGCAGGAAATCTTCGACTCCATGCACTTCAGCAGCGCCAACGGAGCTCCAAACACGCGTCAGGCTCCGAACAACGATAGCAACCTGGTCAATCCCCAGCTGCAGCGGGATTTGCAATTATTCAGCAGTCGTCTGAGCAAGAAACTCCAGAAAGCCACCTACGTGGTGTTGGAACTGCGCGAACTCCTGCGCTACAACCTCACCAAGGTCTGGCAATACAGCTACGACGACGAGGATGAGGAGTCTGAGAGCGAAATGGATCTAGAAATGGAGCTGGAAGATCTACATGCACGGAACACGGCCTCAACAACCGATGAGCATATGCAGCTCTACTTGAACACCCAAATAGAGAGCTGCCAACCTGACTACGAAACGGACTTAGAGTACGGCTCCTCGTCGACCCAATCAATTCACTACAACAGGCAGCAGATTCAAATACTAAACTATCTGAAGTCGGATGATGCACGCGCTACCTTCCTGAATGAGAACAATGCCCGTTCCTTGGCTGTCAATGGCTACATATCGAATCAACTAGTTTTACTCAAGCGCAGGCTCAGTCGAAGCGATGCGGAAAATTCGAATAGCAAGCCAATTAGTGGCAACCACTTTAAACATATATATTTCCTGTCCAATTCGGATGGAGCCTCTGCCAGCCTTCACTTTCGTCAGCTCTACGTGTCAGCTATTAAGCAAAAATTTGTGCTCTTCCTTATCGACGTCGGATCAGCTCTAACCGCGGAGTTATTCGACCTCTCAAAAAGCTTTGGTAAACTATTGATTCTTGTTGAAAGGCAAAAAAATAATTTGTCTTTATTTTCAGTTCACGAAATGCTTCAACTGCTGGAGGATACGGATAAAGTATCACTGGTGACGGTTTCGAGTGAGGCGAACTTTATGTCTCTAGAAACCTTTCCCGCCGAGGCTGGCCACGGCATTTACAGTGCAACTCGCGCGCACAAGGAGGAAATAATTAGCTACATTAACAACTTAAGCCGGGCGCAAGCTTTAACAAACCACTCCTTGGGATTTGAGTACTCCTTTGAGCTACTTCATCGACTGCAACAGTCGGGAATGATAAACACGGCAGATCAACCAGTAGAATTCGTTTACATCACTCGTGGTCTCCTGACCAACTTATCTGATGCGATGGCAGTACTGCGAGTAGTGGCCGACGGTCAAAGACGACTTAGGGCTCCTGTTATTATTAACACATGTGCGGTGGTGCTCGACGAAAAGCGGATTATGTATGAAAAGCAATTCCTTAATGATGTGGCCACTCAGAACTACACCAAGTACGAGATCGATGTGGCCAGTTGGTGGCCCAGTGGACAGGCGGCGTCTCAGTTGGTTGGACGCTTCTATGTGCTCAGCAAAATGCACGCGGAGACGACGTTACCCCAAACGAGTTCACGGATATTTGGACAGCTCTTTCAAGAGCGATATTTGAGCGATACGCTAGAAGTTCATCCTCCAGTTGTGGACGCAGACAGCGGAGGTGAGTACAAAAACAATTAAACTTGATTACACAATCACAATCATTATTTGGCCTCTCTGCAGATGTTCTTGTCTCCATCACGCATGCCGTTCCTCCCTACGGTGTTGTAGGAGTAAACTTGTACCTGTCGGATCTGCTCGAGGATCTACTTAACTACCCCAGTACTACATCCAGTTCCAAACAGGGCCTAGGGTATGCCTTTCTACTCGATCGCGCGACGGGAAATACGCTAGCTCATCCGGCTTTCCCGCGACCGCTCATTCAGCGCGAGACCTCATATCCCGTAAACATCGCTTATCTGGAA